CAGCTCGCTCACTGCACATATATATATTTTATATGTGTATTTGGAGTATAATTCAAGCCGGGGCCGTATATGTGCGTAAACGCGCGCAAACACGAGCGCGACATTGAAAAGTTTGTCGAACACGCGTTATATACTTATTGTACACGAAGCGTGTGTCGACGGTGGCGGGCGGGCAGGCGGGCGGCGACACCTTGCCACGATGGCGCCATAACTCAGACTTCGATGTGTTTTATACACACTACGTATATAGATAGGCACGGCATATGAACGTGGCCCGGGTGGCAACTTATGTGCGTAAAAAAGCATACTTACACATTGTATTACATACGTGTGTAGGTAATATAAGGACGCATAGATCGAAGCGCACATACTGCCTATGAGTTTTATACACGTGTATATAGAAAAAGCGAACTGCGATAATTTATGTTCTCGCGTGTGCATAGGTGCTTGAAAACTTGGCGTTTTTCTCTCAATTTTGAACGTGCAGCCAAAATATACCGGGCTTATACCCGTTCTGTTTATTGCTATCAGGTGTAAGCTATACGTATAGCATATATCAAAACAATATCAATCGACTGAAGAGAGACGGATATATTTGTATGCACGGACGAGAGGGAGTAATGCTTTGAATCGTCTGGGGGAGAGGTATAATTCACAATAGTGCACGTTGGTTCGTTGTGGGAAGATCGTAATTAGGGATATTAATTAGCAGGTGCACTACACAACGAGCGTTCCTCGAGCTCTTATTTTTCTGGTTCCATGTTGAATTACCTATAGAATGTTATTTTTAAAAACCTTTTTAATGATCTTTGTGAGGATCAGATAATTTTCCCGAGTACTAGGGAATTAATCAAAATACTTATTTTGAAAATTACCTTGTTATTTACAGTACATTACCTGTTTTTTAAATAATTAAACATTTAAAATTATGTACTTGATATAACTTTTCATTATTTAAATTCAAATACATTTTTTTCATCAGTTATTTTGGGACTTTTTATGTAACGAAGACACGCTGCGTTAATGCGCATTATATTATTTACTATTCATTAGTGCATTTAATGACATTTCATCGCGTGCCGAAAATACATTAACAAACGAGTACAATAATCCGCTGGCCTGCATAAATGAGTAAATAATCATCAATAATTACCGCGACTGCCTTGTAATGCAGGGGAGAGAGAGCTCGAGCTCGGAGGCTTGTAAGTGAATAAGTACAATTAACGTATAATATATTTCATAATTATCGCGTACACATTTCAGGTTCGCGTATGCAACGCATAAAGAGTAACCCAAGCGCCGTAATATTTAGAAATTAGTTATGTATTCGCGCATACACCTATACATTACAATACCGCGCAACGCCTGGCGCAAATAACAACAATAACACGCGCGACTGAATAACAGGATTCGACCGCGGACTGCGGAAAGATTAATTCGCGCGCGTTAACGTGCCGATGCCTCTAAACAAACGCACAATAACAGCCCGACGAATTATCCTGCTCTTTTATGCCGTGGCAACGACGACACGCTGCAACTACTGCTGCTGCTGCTGCTGCTGCTGCTGCAGTGCTGGCATCGATCCGAGTGCAGCTAATTACGCGCAGTTGCCATGCATATATATAAAACCGGGTCCCGCGCGCACAAGTGGCGTGTACAAACGAGTGTGCGAGTGTCTCTGTGTAATGTGTATACACATGCATACCACGGGAGGGAGGGTATAAATCCTTATTGGATCGAGTGAGGCAATTTTTTCGCCTGCATTGTCGCTGGCGATATGCAGCAGCGGCGCGATGTATACATAACGCAAGCACAATGGCTTGACAAAATTCAATTGCCTTATACTATATGTACGCGATTCGAAGCGCCCACCCGCGAACTTGAAAATTCCATTATATATACGCGCGGCGCGCACGAGGCGACGTGGTAGTAGTCGCGTCGAGAGCGAGAGGCATCACGGCACACTATGTAAGGGTGTATTATGACGGGAAGTGCAGGTCGCAGCGCAGGAGGGTGGTGTATACGGTTCTGGATGCAGCAGCAACAGCACGAGGAGCACCGACTGACTGAGTATGCGCGCTGTATTCGTGTCCGTGTGAGTGTGTACATGTGTATGCGCTGTAATATGCTTTACATAAAGCTCGTGTGCTTGTGTGTGCGCGTGTATATGTCGGTGCATCTGTGAACTTCTCACAGTCGATGCTAATTGGGTTATTCGATCGGCTGCAGTGGACGTAAATTTAATAACTTGACTCGTGACGTTAATATAACTGTCTGTAACATACTCTCGAAGATTAATTATTCACCTACTGCTGTGCGCGTATTGTGCGCGAGCTTGTTCAAAGTGCGTATTATATGGCAGGATTTTTCGCAGAATTTCGAAGATCGGAAAATAATGACGGATAAATTAAAAATTCAGCTCCAGAGTATGAAACGGAAAAGAGACAAAATTTTAAAACTTGAACGCGCACAAATGTACAGTTGGAACAAAAAAAATGATCAAAACGATAATTTGAGCGCGACGAAACTCTCAATGCTTCGCGAAAGAGCCTCTTCATTTTCTATTGAGAATTTTTGCAGTATCACCACAGAAAGAATTTCCATCCCGGCTAATTTTGTAGCTTGTTAAAAAATAAGTCCCCCGGTGGCCAATTACTCAAGAACGTTTGCGAGTGTTGAATTTTAATTGGCAAGGATGCAAAACGTCGCTTTTATCTCGCGAGGCAGTTATATATATTCCTTCGTATATAACGCCAAAAAAAAGTATGCCAGTCCGAGAGGTTTTCATTACTGGCGCGCGGATACATTTTTTTGAACGCAGATAAAAATACAATTTTATTGATATAACAAAGGGAAAAATCTGCAGTGAAGCAAGTAAATATAGTTAGATGTGTGTGTATAGACGTCGGCAGTGTAGAGCACGTCCAATGTTCTCAGTAATCTCGGCAATAATTAACGAGACATCCTTATGCTTAATTGGGCTAATCTATAGAGATTCATTAGAGCGCCGCATCGCGACCTTATGCCAACACCCACAACGGCAACAGCCGCTACAAATTGGCCCATGAGATATATAGTTAGATATTCTCCTTTCTCTCGCGAGAAGAGAACCTCTCATTTACGCTCTGCATCTTCCGCAAAAGACAAAATAACTCTTTGGCGAACAATGCATATTCAAGTAATTTTTTTAGTTTGAACATTATAATTTGTAATCGCGGAAATTTAAATTCAGAAAGTCGAACATAAACTCGTATTACATAAAATTTAGATAATCACGAATAAAAATATTTTTACACTTTTGCAATAACAAAACGGGCATCAAATGTTTATAAAAGTCTTAAAAAATTTAATTGGAAAGTACAGCAATAACATTTTACCTGCATCAAGTTGCTTCGCGAGATTCGAAGGTGGAATAGCACTTGTGCTGCCACGTCTCGGGAAAGTGATAAAGTGCATTCTCTCCAGAAAGAGGTAAGTCTGGTCGATTCGACTTTCACGACCAAGGTGAAGTTAAGCACAAAACTTTTAATAAATAGCAAAAGGTGATTGGTTCATTTCTGAAAAATTCAAATGTTTACAATAGAGTATTTTATATCTTTTCAACAAAATATCACAAACCATATTAATAAAAATGATAATTTGTATTGACATCTAGAACGTAAAAAATTGACAGCGAGTCTCGTAAAGATAAAAAATGACGGAAAAAAACATTAGCCGAGTAAATGAGTAGTATATAAACCAAATAAAAGCATCTGTCTCGAGTCATGCTAAAAATACAAGGAAGGGAGCGAGAACCTATAGATTACATAAATCTAAGTGCGAGGGCAACGAGGAGTGGCAAGTGCGAGGGAGTCAGCAGCAACGGCAGCGGCAAGAGACGTCTTTTCCCTTTCTCTTTCTTCCTCTCTCTCTCTCGTTCGAAAAACCGACACGCGTGTAAACACGTCCCTTCGCAGCTTCATACATGCGAGCGCGCCTCACTGCTGCAGCGAGTAAGGAAAATTACCAAAGTTTTACGCTCGCATGGCCTCGCGCTATCCACCTCCCTTTCCTCACGCCTTGTACGTGCAATACGTAGTATACATACGCAGGTATAAAGAAAAGTTAATAAGTACCAGTGGGATGCGCTCGCTCCAGGGAAAGGAAAAAAAAAATTTTTTAAGGAGCAAACTTGGTGCATCGCATACATGGCAATGTACGGGATATTAGTTTGATCACTTTGATATCAATCACGTTTTTTCTTCAAATAATTTGGTTGAAAATTTCAAAAAAATTTGAACCATAATGATGTGAAAAACGAGTAAATATCGACCGATTTACAAATAGCTGAAGTAAAATCAAAATCACATCAACAAGGGTAATTTTACAAGAAAAGCTAATGATTATTTTTAAATTGGTTTTTATCGGATGGCGCATCGAAAAGATGAGAATAAAAATACATTCTATACTTTTCGAGCCCATCCTGAAAATCTGATCAGACGTGGTAATATTTAAGAGAAATGAAACAATATTGACATTGCGAGAATTCAAGGCGACTCGTAGCGGTCATTATGAGAAATTTTTAAATATTTTTCTTATGCCTATATACATGGCTATTATTTACATACACATAATCGACCAAACAATGTAACTTCCTTACATCTTTAAAGTACATTTCAACAAAACATTTCAAAAAAACATTATTTTATCAATTATTGGTTTCTGAAAAAAGAGATTTCTTGAAATTCTTGTGCAAATCATAAATTTTAAAATCCAATTGTCAAAATGACGTTTGGAACGGATTAAACATTTTAAGAAGAATATCACAAGTCTGGGCAGATGTTTAGGGTGGAGGACTGGGATTCAAAAAATGTATTCTTGTTCTTAATGAAGGTCTGTCTTTCCCATTCAATACCATTTTTAAACAAATCTGGAGTTGTTCTTAAATATCATCCTTGACGATGTGATTTTGATTTTATACAATTAATTCATTAAACATTTCCTCTGTGAAATAAATTTTTGCGCTGATTCCGAATTGCTCGCAAATTAACTCTATCGAAGTATAGAGAAAATAAACGAACTTTTTTATCAATAGCGCATTGAAAAGGAATCCCCTCGTACACATCTATTGAATGTACATACGAGAAAAAAAGTCGAGTACAAACGAATAAAAAACAAAGTGAGAAGGAAAACCAATGGGCACTAAAGAATCGAGTAAAAGTCCCCAAGAAGTGTTGTAACAAGAAGGAGAAAGGAAGGCAGACGAAAGGTTGTTCGGGTGTGACGGCGTAGAAGTTATGAACACGCCTCACATAAATTGTCGCGCGCGGCGGCTCTTTAAGAAATTGCAAGTAGAAAGAAACAGCTCGAGTATACACTCTCAAATACGCGTGGAACTTCGGTTGAACACCTTCTCTTTTTTTCTTTAAAGAACAAACAGTCGCTCTCTATATACACCTTACTAAAGGCTGCTTGGGGCAAGAAAAAATGAGAGTAATGATGCTGGCGCGTAAAGTAGCCCTAGAACAGTAAAGCAGGCAATTGAGGAGGATAAGAAAGTAAAACTTTACTGCTCACTTAACTTGTGGATTATATGAAATATACCCCTTGCTTATACACGAAAAAAAATCTTTGGTGTGTATTTGGTAGACTTTTTTCACTTACTTCTAACGGCAACAATGAAAATATACACCGGTGAGTAATAATGATCCACGTCATAAGGGTACGACTGACGATTCGACATTTAATTGTATCCATTGGTGTTTCATTGTTTTTATATCCCCGAATGTAGAAGGGTCGATGAAAAATGATATTCGTTGATTTCGCTTTTATTTTTCTAGACTCGCTGTACCAAATGATTCGGACTGCCACAGCTTGCCGAACATGACTCGGCGATGAGCAGACGCGAGGGAAAAATTCAACACACGAATAACGAATACTCAGCTGTGGTAACATATTGACATACACTTTTTCGTGCTTTAACAAATCTTGTTTCATAACACTTTTTTAAAATTTCACATATATTATTGTTTTTAATAGATTACGTTTTACGAAAACAAAAATATTCGTAAATAAAACGATTAATTTTTAACAACAATGCGGATGATCTTAATTCTTACAAGACACACAGAACACACTTAAGTATTTTATAATCGAACAACTTTTAAAACAAGGCAGAAGTTTTCCGCATAGATTACAGAAGCTCTTATTTCCCAATACGATTTCACAGCACGTTCCACAAAATCCAAACGTTCGTGCGATACGAAAGCACACACGCGTGCACCATACACTTACACATATACATATATGGCTCGCTATTAATGACAGTATGATCGATATTAGCAAATATTTCCCGCGGGATAGCCGCCCGAGGGGAGGCGTACTATGCTGAGGTACGCTTTATCGGCGCTGACATTTATTCAAATGTAATATCTTGTCTATGTAGAGAACGAGCGACACATATAGAGAGAGGTAGACGAGGAAGATTATACAACCTACAACGCATATCGGAAAGCGTCCCCCAAGCCTGGTTGACGGCGCTGCTGCGCGCGTTTCTTCGACGAAAGCTCTTTATGCGATATACATATTGATGCTCTCGACTACATATTACACACATACATATCGTGTTAAACGATAAAATCGCGGAGGCTTCTTTTTTACACATATTTTTCTTAAAAGCACTTTTTTAAACAAAAAAACACTGTCATTCTGAACATTTGAGAATGATTAAAAGTTTCACGAATCGACTAATAATATTTATCATTATCTTTGTCGTCGTAGAAGTACAGTAACGGCGATACGCGCGTGAGTAAATCGCACGCGCCAGCCCAGGTGCAGGAGGTGCGCACGATAAGCGCGGGACCGTCTTCTCCTCGCTTGGCGACTGCTTCTTCAGACCAACTTTTTAAAAGTTTCGGCGATACCTGGGGACAACGCGACACGTCCAGAGAGTGAAGAACTTTCGAGGATTCGAGCACTTTTCGAAAACCAGTGGTTCGAAGCTTCTTGCATTCGTATATCTGTAATCGTCGCAGATTTTGCATATTACTGTTTTTAAACGATTTGTCGGTAACGAGCTGCAAGTGCCTAAAATTCAGGTCTTTTATCTTAGGAAGCGACGTTATGTACGATAGGCCTACGTCAGTTAAAAATTCTGAATCTGGAGAAAAACAATTATATTTGACTTTTTAGCAAAAAAAAATTTACTGAAATAACCTTCATGAAAAACTCACTAGATAGATCGACTTCCTCAAGATGCTTGCAGCCACTTTTGACGACTTTCATAACGTCATCGTGTACAATCATATCTCCGGACAAATGCAGAATTTTAAGTTTCTTTAAATTTTTCAAACTCGGCAGCATTACTTTATCGTCTTTTTTAGCTTTTTTCTTATGAGTGTAGTTCAATTGGAGATCTTCCAACGGTGCTTCAGGATGTATAGATGCCAAAAACTCATCATACCGTTGCATCTCCTCACTTGGACAAGTAAAAGAGAAGCTTTTCAAATTTTTCAATCGTATCAAAGCCTGCGAAAAGAGAAATGTTAGTCAATACAAATATCTTAATTAACTCGATGATAATGTGCACTGACCGACTTTAAATGTTCCACAGACATGCCGGTCTTGCTGTAGTAATGCGATATGTCGAAGTGCTGCAACGTGTCGGCGGGCAAATACGTGAGGCAGTGGGATAAAATACTGTCGGACGTCGTCTGGAACGATCTCAGCTTGCTATTCTTGGTAAAGAAGTAGGAGAGCGCACCCTCGCACTCCTTGTGGATGCGCGTGAAGGCGATGTGTCTCAGATCGAAGTTGTTGGCCAGATACTCGATCGAGCGATACGTGAGGGTCAGATCAGACAGATCGAGCCTCTTGATGTTCGGGCAGAGCTTGTGAATGATTTTCAGGATTTCCATGCAGGCGGGTCCGCTGGTCACATAGCGGAGCTTGATCTCAATAAGGCCGATGCCGCAGTACTTCAACACGTTCTCGAATTCGGAAAAGGACGAGAAGCGCTCCACCGTCAGTTCCGTAACGTCGACCCAGGAGTGAAATATCAGCCTTCTCCAACGTTTGCAAACTGAAAGATACAGAGAAAGTTAGAGCTCTTGGAAGTGCAAAGAGAAAAAGAGAAACTAAAGTTACATAGATCGCTTACCATTTTGCACTTTGAGTTTTTTGAATGGATTTATGTAAGAAAAAATGTGCTGCAGACAAGAATCGTCCAGATCCATTATTGTGGTTACCCTCCGCTCCTCGACTTCTGGCCTCGTGCTCGTGTGAGTGGTTTTCGTTTTCTTTCGTTTTGCAAGCATTGCTTCCAGATCGGTTGTAACTCGTAAAATCTGTCAAAAATTAAATATCCATTATCCACCAAACTCATTTAATATACATTGTAATAAGCAAATCTAGAGGCGAATGATTCAGTGACGGTTAGTTTTTCATTTATCAAGGTAAGACCGATGTTAAAATAACAAACGGCAGTTTCTGTTACAGATCGGTATATACTTACGGCGGTCGCTACTCTCAAACGAATCGACACGCACAACCTATCGTAATCTTGACTCATGTCAGTTGCAGTCAACATAACCTGGCGCGAGGGTCTCTCGTTGGATTCAGCGACTAGCCAATAATCGTTTGCGTGACACGATTTGAAAACAAAAAATATTCGTCGATCATCGATGGCGCATGTATGCGATATTTCAAGAGGATAATCTGCTCTACGTATAAGTGCCTACAGCCACGTGTTAGAGCAAGACGTAGGTCGCTCGATTGGCAAAAAGGACGCTAATCTGAAAAGCTTCATAGAGAATACGAGGCGTAATTTAGAGCACGTGTGCAGCAGTCCAAAGAGCTTTTCTGCAATCTGCAATGTATAATGCATAATACGCATAGGGCGCGAAGGCGACTTTAACTCAGAGATGTCGCCAGGGGCGTGCCGACACCGACGCGACGTCTGCAATAACGACGTATAATACTAGTTAGTACACTTCTCGACTGTCTCTCGTTCCTCGCCCTCGCACTGAGCGCATGCCAGTGCAAAAGCCCGAGGTCACACGAGTGCACGCTATGTGTACAAAATGCTAGGATGACTCTGATTAATTATCGATAAGTTACAAAAGCCGACGTTAAATCAGGATGCGTGCGTGGGCATGACTATTTATGTGCTCGATAAACGGGTATGTAAGGAAAGAGAGTGCGAATGAAAACTCAGAGATACAACCGTATTTACTCGAAGCTTTTACACTTTCGTGCGTCTGCGAACCATAACAAATCTGCATAGCTGACTTTCAATGTACTGTAATGTAATGTATCTGACTTCCAACGATTTGTAGTTAATAACTATTCAGCGCAACTGGATTTTGACTTGATTTATCATCCGCGCAAGATCCGAGCGAACCGGAAACCCTTATTCAAAAAGTTCAAAATAAGTTTGAAATCTTTTTAAATCATTTTAATTTAATAATTAACAACTAAAGTTCGTTTTAAATTTCTGTTGATCGCTCATTCGTGGGCATTAACTTTGACTTATACAGTTATTTTTACTTTGTCACTTGCAGATTTACAGATCAAGATACTTGCCATCTAGCGGTGAAAACTTAAAGTGCTATTATAGTTTTTAAAGTGGTTAAATACTGGTCTAGCTTTTTTCAAACCATTACATTTATTTAGCCGAATTGCGACAATAGTGAGTTATATGCTATTGTTTTTCAGAAAATCTTTAATTTTTACGAATTGATTTTGATTTTCGATGATATAGTTTTTTTCTGAAACATAACTTGTTAGCTTATAAAAATTATTTTTATATCCTATTTAGCGTTTCATAGTTGTTGAACTAATATGCCCTTGCAGCAAGGAATAAGTACAGAAAAGATGCCACGAAAATTTTATTTTATTATTCTAAAATTTCTGAAAACATCTAACATTTTTATCAACTGTTCATTTCACATATTTCATGCGAAATAACCAGGACTTGAATTTTTAACCAAATATAAATATAAGCAAAGAAATATTTAAATAATAAATTATGCGTTTAAACCACCAAACTTATTTTTCGTTTTTTTTTTGGTAGATGAGAATCGGGTATGAGGATGTTACATAGCAGCACAGAAACTAGAGAAATAGAAACGTTAATCTCGCAATCAATGTCATATTACGACTCTCGCTAAATCCTCATGAAATCAATCGTATAGTCAGACGCCATGGTACGTTATTACCAACACCAATTACAAGCATTATATTAGTAGTGAGGTATTTTTCCTTCGGGCGCAGCAACACTGCGCCGGCACGCGGCTACCATCAAACGTCACGATCAGCACAACCGTATACGCAACGAAATAATAATTATACAACGGCCACTGCGTCTACAATCTCATCGACGCGTATATATTATTATATATTCATTGTAATTGCTTCGCGTAATTAAATCACGGTTAATAACACCCCCGCACTGCAGCGCGCACGGAGCTGAGAGCACGAGTGAGAGAGAGAGAGAGAGACAGAGAGGTCGAAAGAGAAATGAATCCTACGCGCGCGAGCAAATCCATTCCATAGCATTCATTTCTAAAGGCATCGCATACAGGGAAAGAGGAGAGCCCACGTATACAGTTGGAGGATCGGGTGCAGTGTGTGTGTGGGGGGGTATCCGAACTTGCTGCGCGCAATAACGAGTTTGACTAGCGCATACAGGACAAACGCAGGACATTATTACATCCATGATTGCGCGCATCGTCCACACATTATCAGATTTCATTAAAATTGCAACTATACAACAAATAGTGTGTGCGGCGGCCGAGGCGGCGGCGGTGTGTAAGTCTATGAGTTTGACGCGATGCCCGGCAGAAACGCATGACGAATCCTCACCCCCGATTATACATTGATATAGTAATTAGTTATGTATGCGGTACGAGGAATTTCATTACAGTAGTACTGGCTAAAATGCATGAGATGAATTTATGGGTACTTTGAAAAGACAGACACTACAGCAGCATTTTTTCTTTAATTGTTGCAGTTGATAATTTTAAGAAAATTTTCGATTAGTCTCGTACCGGCATGTTATCAAAAACCAGTTGACTTTGTAATATCGACCGATTTACAAGTAGTTGGTGTAAAATCAAAATCACATCAACAAGGGTAATTTTACAAGAAAAGCTAATGATTATTTTTAAATTGGTTTTTATCGGATGGAGCTTCGAAAAGACGAGAATAAAAATACATTCTATACTTTTCGAGCCCATCCTGAAAATCTGATCAGACGTGGTAATATTTAAGAGAAATGAAACAATATTGACATTGCGAGAATTCAAGGCGACTCGTAGCGGTCATTATGAGAAATTTTTAAATATTTTTCTTATACCTATATACATGGCTATTATTTACATACACATAATCGACCAAACAATGTATGAGGATGAGGGTGTTCTTATGTCTGTACACATCGACCGATCGACACATCGATAAAGTAATTTTTCAAGTCAACATTACTTTATCAATTATTTTTTTATCTGCGTGCGCGTGTTTACGATATTTTTTTATTCTAATTCAAAAACTTGCTGGCTTTTAGAATAGTCGCATGCATAAATGACGAAACGATGAAACGTTCAGAGACACAAATTTTTGTATACTAATTTAAAGTTATTGCTATAGGAGAAAATGAATAGAGCATAAAAGTAAATATGTTCAATACATTTTTTGAAAAATCTGACGAAAAGAAGTACGAGAATATTTGAAAAACAAAAAACAAAGGTCCTTGGGTTGTTGCTTTGGAAAGACTTTAGTAGAAATTTCAAAAAAAGAGCTTGAATATTTTTCTCTTTACCCGCATCTCCTCGAGCGAAGAAAAATCTCTTTCTTTGCGAGGTAAATGTTTTTATCAAAGAACAAAAGACATCGCCCGCGGAGAGCACGTAGCGTCGATAAGCGTAGGAGGAAAACACCTCTTGGCCAAGGTGTATTCTGGAATGCACAAGCAATTGACTGCACAATAGCTGCGAGCAGCAGCAGCCTTACAAGAGGAACGAACCGGCTCAACAGAGGTGGCGCCCTTGGTCGAGCAGTTGCCGTGGAGGAAAACAAGATGACCGCACCTCCTCACTTCCTCCTCCATGCATACAGACATTGTATGCGCGTCGAAACGCCGAGAGTGCCCCAAGACGTGCCCAACCCTCCCGACTAGAGTCACGCGTGGGAGGGGGCAAGAGGAGGAGTGCCAACTCCGCCTTGCCTTCACGCGGTTCGCCGTTCTCCGGCCAATGGACGCGCGCCCGACCTGTGTGCACCCGAAAGCCTCTGCTGGAGCTTTATACCGTGCCGAGAGAGCAGTAGCGCGGAGCTTTTGGGAAAATCTAGTCGTGTACGCGATATGCAGCCGCGATCTCGCGCGCACACGTCGAGCTGCCAGAGATACGGCCGACGAAACTACTGTATGCAGCACGCGATGACTGCGACATGATGCACGTGCTTAAAATGTGAGAGCTTTTAAGTAGTATGATATTTTAGTAAGGTCAAGTTACGTATGATGTTGGATGAAAAAAATTTTTTTTTTGATACGGCATTGAAAGAAACTGTGTTGCAAAAACAAATCATAAAATATTTTCGCTTATACATTCTTTGAGAAAAAAAAATTATAAAATCATTTTGAAAATAAATTCAATGCTCATGACGTTTACGTCAACTTTTGGAGTGTGCGAGTTTTTTTGCCGGATCATCATTCAAGAGTCCGAAAAATTAATTACACTCGGAACCCATTAATTTTCTTGAACCCTCGAGCATCAGAGAGTTAAAAGAATGAAAAATCTCGCGAGCACACAAGAAAAATCCAGACTCGCAGACACGTGTGTACTTTCCGTACACGGGATATAGGCGCAATGCTTTAGCGACTCCAGCGAGTAAAAGAGCTCAGAAGCGTGAAAAGAAAAAGGTAGAGCACAACGGCGCGCGCGAAAAAAGCCGCAAAGATAACGCGAACGATAAATCAGCGAAACGTGGATCGGGCTTGAGCAAAAAGAGCCATACGAGTGTGTGGGTAGGTGTTTGTGTGTGCTTGTATGTTTGTGTAGGAGGGTGGGCGTAAGTAAAGGGCAAACATTGGGAGCAACGGGGAGAGAGAGAGAGAGAAAAAAAGAAGACGTAAAAAGGCGAGGAATTCGCCGAGACCGAGCGGGAGGAATCCAGCCGCTCGTACACATACGTATAGTTGCTGCAGCACAACACACACGTTAAGAGTAGTAGTACTAGTCGTAGGGCAGCAGGGCGATAAATAGCAGCGCCGGTAAAGTTCACGTATAAAGCGCGTCATGAGATCGGGAGAAGGAGGACGGCTGCTGCTACTACCACCGAGCTCACA